AGTTGTGATGTATGAATGCGATGGAATACTACTCTATAAGAAATGATGAAGGAGATTGTTTCAGAGAAAGCTGGGAAAATATGCATGAACTGATGTGGGGGGAAGTGAGTAGAACTAGGAGTACAATTTTATTCAATAACCACATTCTCGCAAAAACAAACATCTTGGAAACTCTGTTCAGTGCAATGACCAAGGATGATTCCAGAACACTCAGGATGAAACATGTGACCCACCTCTTGACAGAGATGATGGACGCAAGTGAAGATTTAGATACTATTTTTTGGATATGACTGATGTGGGAAATCAGGTGATAGAGCAGAGCCAAGTTGTAAAGGGCTTTAAAAGTTTTATCTTATTCTGGAGGCAATAAATACGGAGCCACTGCAGTTTACTATATGAGGCAGTTCGGGGGCGCCATAGTGCCCAGAGCACCAAGCCTGGAGTCAGGAAGACTCAGCTTCATGAGTTCAAGTCCAGCCTCATACACTTCCTACCTGTGTGACTCTGGGCAAGTCACTTAACCTTGTTTGCTTCAGTTTCCTCATCTGTCAAATGAGCTAGAGAAGGAAATGGCAAACCACTCCAGTATCTTTGCCAAGAAAATCCCATGGACTGTATAGTCCACAGGTTCATGAAGAATCAGACACAATCGAACAACATCCTAAATGTACCCACTGACCCAGCGAAGTAACCCTAAACATACAGAATAAAACATACATTTGTGGATACGGCCAACAAAGGAATCTGCTTTGCTTGACTATGCATATTTGTTAGAAAGATTTTGCTTTTTCTTTCTTTCCCTTCACCCTCCGGGGAGTAAATGGAAGAGGTGGGAAGGAAAACCAAATGCTAATTGAAAAAGAAAAAAGAAAAAAAAGGAAGCTGGATGAAGCAACCTTTAAAGTCTCTGCTCACTTTAAATTTATAGTCTGATGATCCCTGACAAAAGGCCATCTAGCTTCTTCTGGAATATCTCCAGGAGGAAGGAACTCACTCACTACCAAGGCAGTCCGAGCTGGGATGGCTCTAATCAGGAGCACATTTTCCCTTACGTCAGGAAAAATGTGCTTCCAGGCAACAGACACCACGGGTTCTGATTCTGTCCTTTTCCTTCAAGGAAGCTCTTCTGTATGAAAGTCTTCAAATACTCGAAAACTTTCATATCCCCTCTAAGTCCTCTCTTCATCAAGTGAAAGTAACATCAAGTTTCGTTAACCAATTTTCATGTGGCATGGTATCCATTTAGTCTTTCTACCACCCTGGTTCCCTCCTTTGGATGCATCCTTCCTCAAATCTGGCACCCAATGTGAACATTATGCTCCAGATACCTATTTGGTGTTCAGTCTTTGAGTTGTGTCCAACTCTACGTGACTCCAAGGACTTTGTCCATGGGGCTTTCTTGGCAAAGCTACTGGAGTGATTTGCCATTTCCTTCTCGTGTGTCCCTATTTTACAGATGAGGAACTGAGTCACATGGGGGTAAGTGACTTGCCCAGTGTCATATAGGTAGTAAGCGTTTGAGGCCAGATATGAACTCAGATCTTCCTGACACCAGGCCCAGTGCTCCACCCACTGCACCACCTAGCTGTCCCTGTATCTATATCCATATTTACATCTATCCGGAGATACAGATGTAGATATGGAGACAGAGATAGATAGATATGGATAGATAGATCACCTTCCTCATTCTGGACTCATTATACATAACTGGACACAACATGCAACAGAAGCATACTTTTTATTTGCTATATTTACTGAATCAAATTTTATATGCCTGGTTCTGATTTTTGTTTGTTTTGGTTTAGATGTTATTTCATTGGTCTAGGGAATTCCCAATGATGAAATTCTCTCTACCAATGCAGATCTGCATCTAAAACTTATCTTTTTAGAGAGTATATACCTTATACATACCTAGTAATTTACATTTGGTCTTCCCTATGATTATTATTATTATTATGGTCTCCTTGAGGGCGGGGGCTGTTTTTTCATTTCTTTGTATACACAGTGACCAGCATCAGTAAAGGCTTAATAAATGTATATTGACTTACTCACTGATGAGGGACACTCACTAGGAGTTTCAATGACTTGTCTAGGGTCACACAGCCAGTGTGCGTCAGAGGCTAATCTTTCCAATTCCATGGCTAGCTCTCTATCCACTATGCCGGGCTCCTTATCCAGAGTAATTGGAGTTCTAATATTTAAAGCTGATAAAATAGAATAAAGTGCTCCTTGTGTATAATATATACATATGTGTGTGTATCTATCTATCTATCGATCTGTCTATCTATCTACCTGTCTGTCTATCTATCTATTCATCTATCTCCCTATATAGATAGCAATAGGTATATATAGAGAGATCCACATAGAAAGATAAACAGAGATAGACCACCTTCATCATTCTGGATGCTGCTTGTATATAACTGGCCCATGACATGTACCAGAAGCATACTTTTGGTTTGCTGTCTTTATTGATTATACACACACACATACATACATATACATATACATACATACTACGTGTAGTGATATATATGTAGTATTTTATATTGACAGCTCTCACACACACATACATACATGTATATATACACACATATATCATATATTCTATATGAAACAGGAACTGTGACTTGCTAACAATAGCCTCCCATTGTTCTGGTACGATTCCCCATGCCCAGTGCTTTAATCCGAGGTGGCCCCTTCCCTGCTGCCATCAGGGCAGACATCGGAGCCACTTCCCTTGGCCCACAGAAATGTCCTTCAGGGGTGACTGGTACAAGCTTGGGGAACATGAATTCACTTTAAAATTAGCCTGAGCCAAGCATCATTAGGAAGGAAAACTTGCTGCCAAAAGACAATTACATAATGCCCTCTCTCCAAAGCCAAACGGCTCTTGTATCATCAGATGTTTCTGATTATTCATGTCTCTGCTTCCTCTCCATCCCTTGCCCTCCCTCAAACACAGACACTGTTGATGCAGCTGCTCTGGAGCACATTTCAACTTAAAATGTCAGCAGTGTTTTCCAGAAGGCAAGCGGCTGCTTGATTTTTTTCTCCTGTATTCCTTTTCACCCACCTACATTCCTCCAGGGATGGAAGGAGCAGTAGGCCAGGGTGGGTAACACTGGCCTCGGCAGCAAGAACACTGGGCTTTGGGGATGGTAAATGTGTTTTCTAGTAATGACCATAGCATTGTGTAGGCAAGTTACAGGACTCAGTTAGCTCAGCTCTGTGTGCTTAGGATCCCTTATCTGTAAAAGAAGGGTGGTGGGATGGGGCACATGTGTGTGCACATGCATATGCACACACGTGCACACACACACAGAGGTGTGAACAGATGATTCAATTCAATTATTACTTACTAAGTACCCACTATGTGCATGGCAGCACAGTGCAGACAGGGAACAGACCTAGGAGTTAGGAAGACCTAACTAGGCTCTCTAGTCTTACTTCTTAATCACGTTGATTTTATGACCTCAGACAAGTCATTGAACCCCTCAGTGCCTTGGGAAATGCTCTGAGACAAGGGGTCTCTGTCCTGGACCCCTCAGCCAGTTTGATGAAGCCTATGGACCCCTTCTCAGATTAGTTTTTAAATACATAAAATAAAACACACAGGAAAACAATTCTATTGAAATAAAGGTCTAATTTTTTCCTATCCAAGTTCCCACAAACCCCTTGGGGAGGGGGGGAGGATCTGTGGACCCCAACTCAAGAACTCTTGCTCTTAGATCATAAGTTGCTGAGCAAGTACCAATATACACATGGAGTGGGAGTTTAGTGACTGACAATTTATAAAACATTTTGAGATTTGCAAAGTCCTTTATATACATAACATTTGATTCTTACAACAACCCAGGTAGGCTTTACAAATGAAGAAACTGAGGCTTAGTGAGATTAAGAGACTTGTCCAAAGTCACACAGTTAATAAGTGTCTTGAGGTAGGATTGAAACCCAGTTCTTTCCTGATTCCAAACCTACTGAGCTCAGAATCATAGGATCATAGAATGAGAACTGAAAGGGACCTCAGATGTCTTCTAGTCCAGCCCTCTCATTCTGAGAAAGTCAAGGCTCACAGAAATGAGTGACCTGCCCATAGTCACACAGATGATAACTGTTGGAAGCCTCTCTTGACCCCAACTCCATAATCCTAACATTCTATGACTATATGAAAATATGTCTGGCTTTGTAAATATCCCTGGGCCTCGAGGCCTAGAGAACACTAGCCCTCAATAGAAATATGTCAGTGGAAGAGATAGTTCACAAGTCACTTTTATTTGTCTTTGGAATATTTATTCATATGTTAGGTTGGGGAGATTTCCATCCCTCTCCCCAAGTCAATTTACTTTCTTAACTATGTTTTGTTTCAGTTAAAGAGGCATCTCATAATAAGAGTTATTTAGAAATGAAATGCATTCTCTTATGAAGTACTCAGCTCCCTGTCACTTGGATTGTTTAAGCAGAGGGTATGTGGCCATTTGTCAGAGTATTCCTGTATGGAAGCATAGCTCCTTCTAGTTCCTTCCCTTCTGAGATAACCTTCCATCTATGAGCAGAAATTTTTTCATTCTTTGTATATGTACCCTCAAGTGCCTGACACATGGTAGGTGCTTAATAAATGCTTGATGATCAACTGATCTACTCTGTGTAGACCTTGGATGTACTCAGTTATTTACACGTTGTTTCTTGCATTAGAATGTAAGCTCCTTGAGGTCAGGAACAGGTGTTGACTTTTTTAAAATTCCAGGTTTTAGCCAAGTGCTGGGTACCTAGCAAACTCTTAATACATGTTCATTATCTGACTGACTTCTAATTTTCAAAGTCAGTGATTGTGATATTCAAATTTTTTCAGCCCCTGAGGAAATAAAATAACATCTGGATAGCATGGTGCCAGAAGTTGCCTGACATGAATGTCTGGTCCAGGCAGGTGAAGCTAAGGCCAGGGATGCCCCAGTGGCCAAGAAAGGAAGAAGTAAAGGAGGGGGCGGGGTTCTGGGAATTACCTCTTTGTGCTGCAGGCGTCTGGGCAGGTTGGACACTTCTCGCACATCTCTCCGAAGGCCCCAGGCTTTGTGCAATGGCACCGCCCACACGAGCAATACCCTCGTCCACTGCAGATCTGGCCATCGTTGGATAGACATGTTTCGGTCTCTGTAGAGCAGTTACAGTTGTCCCCGATGTAGCCAGCATGGCATTTGCACTCCCCACAGTGGCATTCCCCGTGACCTAAAACCAACACATAGGGTACATCAGGGCACTTGACCTTGACAGGACTGCGAAGCACAAATAGGACAGGTTACTTATCTAAGTCATCCCACAAAATGGCTGAACCCCACAGGGATTTCAAAATCCCCAATTCTCAATTCCCCAAACTATAAAATGAGGGAGTTAGACTCCCTAATGCACTGTGAGTCACCAAACACTTATTTTTAAGTGTCTACTATGGACAAGGTCATAGTCATGACTAACGTCCCTTCCAATTCCAACATCCAACTTCCACCGCCTCCATTCCAATCCAACTGTGGTTGGAATGATCGATGATTCTAGGGACAACCTTGCCAGCTCCCTTGGTCTGTCTCAGCTCAAATGAGGCATTTAGCTCATTCATTGGCTCTGGGCCCCAAAAATCCCCACAGAACCTGAACATGCCCAAAGAAAGATATCTGAGCAATGAGAACAAAAACTTACACAGTACATGCAATGCCCAGGCCTAGAAACCTATTGAGCCCAATCATGGCTGTCCCATGGGAGGAGGAGCCTTCTTCCAAAGGACTCAGATATTACTTTCTCAAGAGTGTGAAATATAGCATTTTGTAACTTGGTTATTTGCCAAGCCCAGGGCTATCACTGACTTAAGACATATAGCCCTTTAGGAGAAGGATTGTTTAAGCTAAAGGTGTATTTCACAATCAGAGCTCACTAGGAATAAAATGGGCTAATGTCATGATATAGTGAACTCCCTGTCACTAGAAGTATTCAAGAAGAGTCTGTATGACCACCTGGTTTTCCACAACAGACAAGAGGATAAAACTCTTTATGTGTGTGCAAGGTGGGTAGGGGAAGAGGTGGCAGGTCATCTATGGGGAAATTTCTAATCACAGCTGAGAGTGCTCAATACCACTGACAAAAATACACATTAATGGAGGCAGCTAGAGTCCTTCAGTGCCTCATCATGGCATAGATACCCATGACGCTGTGGGCATACCAAAGGAAGGGAAGCTCTGACACAGCCTACCAATATAATACAAAACAATAAACATTTATTAAGCACCTACTATGTGCAAGGCACTGTGCTAAGCACTGGACATACAAAAAGAAAAGTGAGAGAGTCCCTACCCTGAAGGAGCTTGCAATCTAATGAAGGAAAAGGAGCTAAGAAAAAGTGTGGAATGGGGGTGGTGAAGGAAAGTGAGGGGAAATAAAGATGGTAGAATCAAATTCAAGGGGTGCAGGTAGGGGCAGAGGAAGAGCTGGATGGACTTCTGAGCTACCTTTATAGGGAGGCTCTGGGAGGAGTTCTTTGCTATGGCCCTCCAATCAGAGGGACAGAGAGGACTGATGAGGTGTGTGAGCAGCAAGCTGAGAAAGCTTCCCATCCAGACCAGAACAGCCTCCATCAGTATATAGAGGCTCATCACCCAAAAGGCTAGCTACCAGCTGATGAGGTTTTTAGTTTGTCAGTTTTTCTGCAGCAGCTCATTAAATCAGTTCCTAAGGTGTGGATGGCCACAACAGGTGTCCATGGAGGGACTGCCACGCCACTGAAATTAGAGCTCTGATGAAATGAAAACGAAGGGTGCCAAATATCAGCACAAAGAGGACATAATTTAAACATGGACAGATGGACTTTGCTTGGTGCTTGATGCAGATTTTTTTCAGCAGCAGCAGCAGATTTGATTAAAGCTAATTTTAATAAAAACCCATTTTCATTCCCTGTGCGTGTCCACACTGGAGGAGATTAGAGGAGCGGAAGGTGGGTTGGGGAGAGGCCAATCTCACTTCCGAGCCAAAATCAAGGCTCTGTTCTGGCAAGAACGTGCCAGCATGTGCTACGCAGCCAGCCACTAAGCGAGCATGAGCCCAAAGAGAGCCTCAGAGCAGGACTACCCTGTGGCCTTGGCACCATGGAAAAGAATCAGCAGGGGTATGCTATCTGGCACGTGACCTGAAGGAGGGTGACCTAAAGGATGGCCAGACTTCAGAGACATCACTAAAGCCTCCCTACTGGCCCCCATCCCCCCCACCGTTGCCAGACTTGCCATCCTTTTCCACTCAGGATTTACAATAAATTATATTTCAGTTGTGCTGTGATCAAGGCAATTTACAAATCAACACTGGAGGATGTGGTGAACACTCTGTGAAGTCAAGGCATTCTTATTTAACTGCTAGGATGCTGGTGCAATGTTTGAGCCCCACAGCATACAGCCTAGTCTTGTAACCCAGTGGCTACAACCAAGTCACACATAAAGCTGGAATTCTGGAGAAGGCTATTCTAGAAGGCTTTCTCTCTCCCCATTCCTCTCCTCCAGGTACCAAAAGCCATTCCCTCCTTCTGGCCTCAGGGCAAAATGCAGTATGCTTTCTCTGACAATAAGATAATCAATCTAGGGATGAAAGAACTTCAGAGGCTGTCTGACATAAGAGGAAACTGAGGCCCCAAAAGGTTAAGTGACCCCACCCACAGTCACAAATTACCAAGCATAAGAGGCAGGATTTGAATCCAGCTCTTCTAACTAATTCTTATCATTCTTTTATTTTACTTCCTCTTAGCTCTCCTGTTCCATGAGAACTCCAATTTTATTTTATTTTATTTTTTTAATTTTTAATTTTTTTTAGCCAATTAGAGTTAAGTGACGTGCCCAGGGTCACACAGCTAGCAAGTGTCAAGTGTTTGGTCCGAGGCCGGATTTGAACTCAGGTCATCCTGACTTCAGGGCTGGTGCTCTATCCACTGCGTCACCTAGCTGCCCAGAGAATTCCAATTTTAATGGATTTGAAAGAATATCACTTGTTATAGTATAGCCAATTATCCCCCATTAAAACGGGCACAGAAAGCACAGCTGGTTTAAAACACGTATGCACAGTTGTTGCTCAGTTGTGTCTCTTTGTGACCCCACGGACCACAGCACACCAGGCCCTTCTATCTTCCACTATCTCCCAAAGTCTGTCCAAACTCATGTTTGTTTCCTCTTCCACCATCGCCTTCTCCTTCTGCCTTCATTCTTTCCCAACATCAGGGGCTTTTCCAGTGAGTCCCATCTTCTCATCACAGGGCCAAAATTTAAGCTTCAGCTTCAGTGTTTGTCCTTCCAATGAATAATCTGAATTAATTTCTTTAAATATTGACTAATTTGATCTCCTAAAGTCTTCTCCAACACCATAACTCAAAAGCAGCATTCAGCTTTCCTTGTAGTCCAACTTTCACAGCCATACATTGCTACTGGAAACATATGCACACACATATACATATATTTATATTAAAAAGCAAATTATTAGGAACAGCTAGGTGGTGCAGTGGATAGAGCACTGGCCCTGAATCAAGAGGACCTGAGTTCAAATCTGGCCTCAGACCAAACACGACACTTACTAGCTGTGTGACCCTGGGCAAGTCACTTAACCCCAATTGTCTAAAAAAATATATATATATAATAATAATAAAAAGCAAATGATTAGCATGTTACAGAAAATCCTAATTTTACAGTTGAAATGGATCTCTGGAGCAGTGGTCATCTGCTTCAATCCATATCCGAAAAGGAATATATTTAACCAATGGGCATCCAGCCTCCATTTAAAGACTTCCAATGAGAGGGGACCCACTATCTCCTAATCATACTATATTCATCAACAGTAGCAAAGGAGAGATTGTGCAAAACAAGACTCTTTGTTAGCTTCCATAACTAGTAGCAATGACTGAGCCAGCACACAAAAGCAACTCACCTTTACTATCACCTTACTATTTAGAAAGCATTTTTCTCCTCAACAAGCAGAAGGGGGTAGATGGCACAAATATTATTGCCCAGTGGGTAGAGCACTGGCCCTGGAGTCAAGAGGACCTGAGTTCAAATCTAGCTTCAGACACTTACTAGCTGTATGACCTTGGGTAAGTCACTTTACCCTGTCTGCTTCAGTTTCCTCATCTGTAAAATGAACTGGGGAAGGAAATGGCAAATTACTCCAGTATCTTTGCCAAGAAAACCTCAAATGGGTTCACAATGAGTTGGACACAAATGAAAGGATTCAACAACAAAAACAACAGAGATGGAGAATTAATGTGGGGCTCCCAGCCCCACTCACAACCAAGTGGTAGAACTGAAAATCAGGTCTTCTCATTACTAGTTTCAGGGCTCTTTCCATAACAACATGCCAATACTTCTTTGCCACTTTGCTTAACATGTATTTGAATGAAATAAAAGCTACTCCTCCTCACATTCCTACTGTAATGAATCATGGTATGAAGGTAACCATGTGTTCTAGAAGGCTATGACAGATGAGTGTAAGCCCTGGAAGTCTCAGCCATACTGGAAAGTCTTTGAGTACGGCCCTGGCAAGAGATGCCTATTTTCCAAGGATCCAAAAGACTGGCCACTTAGTAATGAATTCTTTGCCCATGGAAACCTGTAAAATGCTGAATAAAAGTTAATATTTCAAAGAACTGTATTGATGATGGGTGTAGGGTAAATAGGGAATATAAACTGTTTTTGTTGGGGGGAGAGTATTTTGTTATATGTGGGTGGATGTTTATACAGAGCACTTTCTGAAAGTGAATGCAATGTAATTCTAATGACCAAACTTGCCCCCAAAGAAGAGACAAGGAAACCTCCCTCCCTCCCTTGTTTGTAAAGGTGGAGGACTATGGGTATTGGATCACCTTATACACTGTCAGCCTAAGTTAATAAGTTGGTTAGTCTGGCTGAACTGCTTTTTCTTGCTATTTATTTTTTAGTGTTTGTTAAAAGGGATGACTCACTAGGTCAGAGTTAGGAAAGGAATATATTTGGAAAAGAATGTGATATAAAAAAGAAAAATTAAAAACATTTTTAAAAGAATTCTTTCTGAGATGACGGGCTTTACAGTGATATATGGCTGTGGTCTTCTCAGGATAGAGATAAATGTGGGTTACTCTAATTACCAAAGTTGGTAATAATGGTAGGTTGGAAATTAATTCACAATATTTCTGGCAAGGACTAGGAGAGAAGGAATGGATCTGGGGCATAACAGGGCAGAAA